CCGCATCCGGCCCCCGGGCCTTAGGTTGCCTACCCCTGTTCTAAACCTTGCTGGACCAAAAAGTGTGGTGTAGTGGTTAGAGCAGCAGCATGCAACTTGCAGCCTTCCAAATCCCATGTTGTTGCCTAGCACTGTTGCCTTTTCTAATGAGTCTTGCCTTCTCAGATGTGGCCAAAGTTTGACAACTTCAATTTAATCATCTTGACTTCCAAGGAGAATTCAGGCCTGATCTGTTCAAGGGCCCATTTGTTTGCCTTTTTTGGTCCCCTGCGATGTCCTCAGCGCTCTTCTCCAGCACCATATCTCGAAAGAGTTGATTTTCTTTCTGTCGGCTTTCTTCACTGTCCAGCTTTTGCATCCACCTCCAATCAATCATTGATCAGAATGGAGACTGCAGACATGAAATCAGAAGACTTGAACTGGGGAAAGAACTAGCTAAGGCTTAATCTCCACTGCAGAATGAATGCATTTTGGCACTCAGTGCTATGGAATTCTGGGATTTGTATTTAGGTATTTAGCCACCTCTATCAGAGAGCTCTGGTGCCACAACAAACTACAAAATGTAGGATTCCCTGGGATGGAAGCATGACAGTAAAAGCGCTGTCAAACTACATTATGTTGGCAATGCAGCTTCAATGCAGGGAAGAACTAGTCAAGATCCGAAAGTGCAAAGATTTTCAATTGAACATTGAAGTTAGGATCATCCAACCAAACAACAGTATTTCTCATAACCATGTACAGGTGTGAGGGCTGAAGAAAACTGACAGAAAGAAAATCAATTCAGACCCTGTTCACACTACAGAAATAACCCAGTGTGAAAACGGGTTATTTCCATGATATTCAGACCCGGCGCCATTTGCCGGGGGGGGGGGCAGAAAAACCCACTTCACCCAGTGCATTTTACACCAGGTCCCTTACCACATCTTTTTGTGTGTGCCGGAGTGATCCAGATCTTTAATATGCATATGCTACCAAACTGATCTGGGTCACATGGCAGCGGTTCGGGAAATGGTGACAGTGCCTCCATATCCTCTCCAGTGGGTGCCAGTGTGAATGGGAAAAGTGGCTTAAATTGCCTTGGAGAGATTTGGGGACGTAAAACAGATGCCCTTGTAGTGAGAACATTGATCCGGTTGCATCACCACAGAGATTCAGATCTTCTCGATACAAAAAAGTAAGTATGAATGCCCCCTCATTTGAGATGTGGTGCTGGAGAAGACTGCAGAGGATACCGTGGATGTCTGTTTTTAAAATGCTCCAGTTTCTCTCGTCATTCCACTTTCCCCCTTTGTCCTTGGCTTAACTAAGGTAAACTGAGTTCAAACTACAAAAGTGGTTTACGCTCACTTTCTCTGAAGATGCCAGCCACAGATGCAGGTGAAACGTCAGGATTACATTCTTCTAGAACACAACCTCACAACCTGAAAAACCACAAAAACCTATGGATGCCGGCCGTGAAAGCCTTCAACTTAACATGGTTTACACTCAGTTAACTCAACAGTGAGGAGAGGAGAGGACAGAATCTTGCCCTTCCCAGTCAGCTGAGGCAAAAACAAACTGCTGCAGCCTCATCTGGGTTGTGCATCCTTCACTAACAACTTTTTCTGCCTTGACCACATTTTGATGTCGCTTGGTCACATCTGTCCCAGTTTTCATCTGTGAAATGTAGAGGGTTATGATATTTCTGATTTCTATAAATGGTTGTGAAAGCTGGACGGTGAAGAAAACTGACAAGAAAAAGACGAAATTTAAAATGTGATGCTGTGGGAGAATTCTACAGATATCATGGACTGCTAAAAAGCCAAATGAAGGGGGCCTAGAACAATAGGGAGAACCCAAGATGAATAGACTGAGGCTGTTGTACTTTGGACATATTGTGAGACAATGTGACTCACTGGAAAAGATGATAACCCTCAGTAAAGTGGAAGGGAGTAGGAAAAAAAGAAAAGCACATTATACAATCGCCCCTCCGTTCTCGCGGGCTTGAGGTCCGCGGTTTTGAATATTCACAGAGGGGTGACCTCAATTAAAATCAATGGGGCCCGCGCCCACCTGCGTGCACTCATGGGGGTGTGCCCCATTCAAGCCTATGGGGCTCGAATATTGGCAAGTCTCCATTTTTGTGACGTGGTTCGGAACGGATCCCCCATGAAAACAGAGGGCCAACTGTAGCTGGATATATTCAATCTAAAACGTTTGCAAGACCTGAGTTGATGACAGACTCATGGAGGTTACCAGGCTTACCACAAGCCAACTTGACAACAAATGGCAACATAGTGGATCCAGTAAGAAAAAACAAATAAGTAACATTTTAATAATCACAATTCCTATAGGGACACAAGAGCCAGCAGGGTGATTTAAGTGTTGGACTATGATTCAGGAGATCAGGGTTCGAATCCCGACTTGGCCATGTAAACCCACTGGATGACCTTGGGCAAGTCACACTCTCTCAGCCCCAGAGGACAGCAATTGCAAACTCCCTCAGAAGAAACTTGCCAAGAAAACCATGTGATACGGTCACCTTAGGGTCACCATAAGTTGGAAACAACTTGATATACACACAACAACAACAACTATTGTAACACCTTTCATTGTGCTAACTTGGAGCTAAACTACCATGCTATGTTAATTACAAAAGTGCAGAGATG